CCCTTGCTCTCTAATGAAACGATGTCTCATTTGGGCTAACGAAAACCCTTCTCTAGTTCAGTACCTCGATAAAAGCACAATCGGTGCGGTCTCTATATTAGGATTCCTGCCGGACACGGGCATGACCGGAGAGGAGCTCAACAACCTCGGCACCTTCTTCTACGTCGGTTACTTGGTCTCTCAACTGCCTCACTCGTATGCGTTCCAAAAGCTTCCTGTCGCCAAATATCTTGCATCTCAAATCTTCATATGGGCCGTGCTCATCGGCGCAACAGCTGCGTGTAAGAGCTATCGGGCACTCGGTAAGTCTCATTGCTTGTCTCTGATGCATTATACTAAAATCTCTGTTACTGCCTAGTTCCCATTCGTTTCCTCTTGGGTTTTAGCGAAGGTTATATTACTGCTGGTATCGTGCTCATCAGTTCCATGTTCTATACTCGCACTGAAATGGGTGAGCGCATTGGGTGGACATTCCAGTGCAATGCCTTAGCCATTATCATCTCGAGTTTCATTGCATTCGGGGTATACCACACCGAATCTTCACGGCCCGCCCTTCCTGCAACTGCAACAACTCCAGCGATCCCAGCATATCACCCAAAGGTCGCACAATGGCAATGGTTCATGATCGTCATCAGTACCATAACATTTCTCACTTTCATCCTATTTGGATTATTCTTCCCAGATTCACCTACGAGTGCCAAGTTTCTGACAGAGGAAGAAAAAGTTGTGGTGATCAAAAGGATCAAGGCAAACCAAACAGGAGTTGAGACGAAGGCTTGGAAGCAGCACCAGTGAGTTAAAATGAGGGTTTCTGTCATCAGCCGCATTCTTGTCTGATTATATCACTGTGATAGATTTATTGAAGCTCTCAAAGACCCAAAAGGATGGCTCTTCGTGCTCTTTGCTATTCTATCAAACTTTGTAGGTGGCACCGGAATCCAATACTCGTTGATCATCAAGGACTTTGGATTTAATGTTATGCAAACGACGCTACTGAATATCCCTGGAGGCGCTTCTTCGATGATCTCAATCACCTTCTGGATGTGGATGCTCCACAAATTTCCTGTAAGCAAAATTTATCTTATTTTACTTACGGTGTCTCATGTTCTCCAAGAATGCTCGCGGATGGCTCTCAATCATCTCCTACACCCCAGCTATCATCGCCTCTATCCTCATGATCACTCTTCCGGACACCCGCGTCGGATTACTTGTTTGTTTCTATGTTCACCGTATGTGCCTTCTACGTTTGTAAGGATTTATTTATCTGACTCAGGCATTGCCTTGAATAGAACTTGGAAGTACTGCAGCCCTGGTGCTCTCCCTGTCGTGGATCACAACTACGACCTCAGGTCACACCAAGAAACTAACTATGAACGCAATGTGGTTGATTGGATATTCAGTGGGTCAAATGGTTTCTCCCCAGTGGTGGA